TCTAATTTTTTTTCTAGGATAGCAAATTTTAAGTTTTCTGTTAATTAGGAAACACATACAATAGGTGAATAAAGTTCCTAATGTTCTATGACACTTTACAGTTTGGTAGCTCTTTTTTCCCACAGGCATCTGAAAATCTTCTAACAATACACATGAACTCATTTCACTTTTCATATTAAACTCTGTGTTATGTTACTTACTGTTTTCTGGGCTTTTCTCAGTGGGGTTTAAAGTTCCACTTCGTCTCTATGCATTTTCTCAAATCCTCAGCCTTCACCTTCTGTGTTGTGTTCCTGGCCGGGACTAGTCTTAACCCACACTACTCTATTTACTAGTGGAAGGACAGTGTTCTTTCTGCTTAAATATACAATCTATTCTTCATTCACTTGGTTCCACTCCATTCTTCACCTGTCCCATAACATACATACAGTGCATCTACTCTCTTACTCACTCACTCAGGAAGGCAAATGTCCCATTTATATGAATCCTCAGAAGTGTTCTCCCACCCATTACGTGAGCAAATGCTTTTAAACTGCAGAGTGCTGTCTGCATGTTGTGGCACTGATGTTTCAGAGGCCACCAATCTGTGTTGGACAAAGCAAGATAACAATGTAGCTAACTCTTTCCCCATCAAAGAGGTGAAAGGTGATTACTCTGAGACTCATGCTCCCAGCTGTTTGAATCCTACCTTCTCTGACACTCGCCTCCCAAGAGTCCCTCCTGTATCCCACAATTAGGGGCAGGGGCCTGATAAGCTCTCCTGGCTTTAGCAATCAGACTTATTAGTAGCATACGCTTTCCATAAACCAAACTTACCTTCCTGCCTCACTTCACAGCTCCCATTTCAAGAGCTGCCCCTGCAAACGGTGAGAGTTCTGCTTGCATCACTGCCTTTGTCCTGGTGATGTGTTATTGAGTTAGCTGATCTTACCCAAGGCAGGACCTCTGACTCTGGAAGGCGCTTGTGGGCCAGGCCCAGAGAATGTCTGTGAGTATGACTTAGCTGCCTCTCCTCCACATCCTGGTCACTGTGGCTTCTCTGGCCCCTCCCTAGATGTGAAAGCATCTCCCTCAGGATGCCTAGCACTGGGGCTGAGGGGGACCTAACCTCAGCTACTTTTATTTCTTGTGCACTTCAAATGCCCACTCTCCCTGCAGAGAGCTAGCTCATGTTCTCAGAACTGGTGGAAGCTATAAGCAGTGGCACTTTCTAGAGAACACCTTCCCTTCTCTGGTGATTATTGGTGGTGAAAACAAGATCTGTTTCCCTTTGTGATCGCTTCAGATTTGGGCAGACATGGATACAGCGCTACCATCTAGGATAGCAACTAGGTGAACAAAGCTCAGGGCAGAGGAAGCTCTGTGTTCTTTTCTTCTTTTTTTTAAAATTTTTATTATAAAGATGTGGGGTACAATTCAGGGTTAGGTGTATATAAACATTGATCATGCAGGTACCCTTGTTGATGAAGTATGCCCCTCCCTCCCCTAGCAGTTTTCCTCAACTGCCAATCCCACCCCCTTTCCCTAACAGTTTCCCATTACTGCCAAATGCTTTCTTATAGTATTATAATTGTTCAAGGTCCGCTCATGAGTAAGAACATATGATACTCTGTTCTTTGTTTCTGTGATAGATCACTGAGCATGATCGACTCAAAATCCATCCAAGTTGCTGCAAAGTCCATTTGTTTGTCCTTCTTTATAGCTGCATGATATTCCATTGTGAATATGTACCATTGTTTTTTAAATACAATTCAGCTTCAATGGGCAGCATTGTTGGTTCCACATTTTACTATTGTGAATAGAGCTGCAACAAACATACTTGTGTAGGTGTCTTTTTTGTAGAATAGTTTGAGTTCCTCCAGGTATATTCCCAATAGGGGGATTGCTGGGTCATATGGAAGGTCAAT